AAGCTTCTCACCAGGGAATGCTCCCTAGGTCTATCTACTTTCTCCTTAGCGCACCCTTATTAATACAGAAAACAGAGACATCTAGTAGAGAAGCAAGTCATGAACAGGAGCCATCCAGAAGCAGGAGCCCTCAAGCTGTGGGGCCATGAATATACTCTGGCCTCTTGATTCTAAAACCCAACTGACTGTAAGCTACAGCATCAACTCAGAAAAAGGGAGGAAAAACTACATAAGATACATGGATGAATCATGTATAGAGAGGGATGTCAAAATATTAAAATAGTTCTTAAAAGTAAGAAAACAGGGTGGCGATTAAGTGTAAGTGGTAAAATAGAATTCAGAATTGGAAGTGATCTCAGAGATTAAAGTTCAGTTGTAGAAGCTGAGGCTTGGCCCCATGTCTTATATAAATAATGACAGAGCAGACTGAAGCCCAGGTATTGATTCTTACTCCAATGGTCCTTCATCAAACTCCAGAATTATAGGTTAAGTAGTCATAATTGCATACAACCCTGTGTGGTTTAAGTTTGTCTCACACAGACATCAGACAGCCCCAGATCTGGCTGCCAGAGGTGGGAGCCGGAGGCAGTGACTGACTGAACTGGTCCCAGGAACCCTCTGGCATGATGGATGCAAAACGTAATTTTGAGCATCGATGGCTATGGAAATCAGTGACTTCTTTTCTTCTTTTGTGATAATATTTTTCTTTTTTTTTTTTTTTTAAGATTTTATTTGACAGAGATCACAAGTAGGCAGAGAGGCAGTCAGAGAGAGTGGAGGAAGCAAGCTCCCCGAGGAGCAGAGAGCCCGATGCGGGACTCGATCCCAGGACTCTGGGATCATGACCTGAGCCAAAGGGAGAGGCTCCAACCCACTGAGCCACCCAGGTGCCCGTGAGAATATTTTAGAATGCAACTGGTTCCTGGTTCCATCACCAGCTTTACAAAGATAATACATCCACTCTGTCTCCAATACGGTGTGTCAAAAGGAAAAGCGTTTTATTTTGTTTTGTTTTTTAAACCTAACATTAGGCGTTAATATGGCTTTACAAAAATAAGATTATGGGTCTTTCCTGTACAGATGGATTCTTACCATGGCATTCCTTTAAAACAGTAAAATCCTATAATGCAAGTAAATTAAGATATGCAAGACTATATTTTAGGAATACATCTGTTGAATCAAAATATGTTTGTAAATGACAAATGCTTTCCTTTATTTGAGTAGGACAAAAAGAAACTCAGATCACATTAATAAATTCCGAGATAGATACCAGTCAGGCATGACCTTTCCTCTCAGCCAACACTTCTAGGAAACAACAAATTATGGAGGAGAAAAGGGTCTACAGTAATAAGTAAAATAAAAACAGATTTGTAGAGATTGGGGGTGGGGGATGATGTAGAGTTGGTAGAAAGAATTTAAAGAAAGCTGTTAACTTTTCCCTCATTAAAAATCCTTTAGACAAAAACCTAGGATACTCACTCCCTACTGTTCGCTAGGACCCCTTCCTCGTACAGCATGTTCAATGGAACTCAGCCATTAAAACTTCAGGGCTTAACTCATATTTCAAACTTAAGAGCTCCAAACAGAAAGTAGTTTTATGAGTTCAAAGTTGGCAGTCTATGCAAGAAATCACTTTTCAAATCACTGTGTTCTAATGCTTAGGACACCCTAATGATTACAATTTAAAGTGCATTAGTTTTAATTTTATTTTGTAATAATTTGAGATTGTGCTTAAATCTCCCATTTCCTACACCAAGACATGTCAGTTAAATAAGTTTTTGCCCCCAAAATAAAGAGTAACTAAAAGTCAGACTGAAAAATTCAGTTACATCCTATATAGAAAACATCTTTCTACTGTATACAACTGTATCTGAGCTAAAACTACACCATTTACTTAGTGTGTCTGTGTAACCAGTACTGGGTCACTGTAGAGCAAGGACATAGGATCCCGGTGTGGAAAACTCAACAATTACAGTGTTCTAGGGCTAACATATAACAGAGTCCTGCAACTCCTCCTCCACGGAGGAGGATTCCAGTGAGTGGAGAAAAAGTAAAGCTAATATATGGTAGGCAAGAGTATAAAACAATGGAATCCACATGGTTTATCGGAAAGGATTTGCTCTCCCAAGCCATGGGAAGGACATTCCTGGGGACAAGGAGCTGTTCAGATAGCACACATGTCTTTGCAACACAACTGGGCCACATACTCATGTCCTACATAGAGAAAAGTCAGAATCGATCCCAGATTTATATGACACAAGGGAAAAGTGACACATCAACATCCCCAAAATTCTATGCTTGAACACACGAACAACCTGTGACCACTTCCTTCACATCATATTCTGCTATAAACCCCAACCTTCCACCCCCCCACCCCTCCAGTAAGCCCACCGTTATCTGGTTCAAGGACAGAAAGCAGTTCAGTGTGTGATTGATAAGACAGATGAACATACCAGCAAGAGAGCACTTGACTTTGAAAGAGTCTGGTTTCAAAGTTCATGGGTACAAAATCAAGCCCTCCTCTCTGGAAGACTAAGTATCCATAATAATCCTTTCACTCTCAAACTAAGTTGCTTTGTGAATAACAACAATGTTTTAAAGTAACATCAGAAAGGACATATTTCAAAAAACTAAATACAAGCTTTGAAGCTCTGTAACCTGGAGATTAACAAATTCACTTTCATCAAATGCCTACTAAGCACCTACTCGGCACCTGCTAAAGGCAGAGGAAGTAAGTAATAACCCAACCGTTAGTTCACAAAAAAACTGAAGGGAGAGGCAAATAACCAAATAAAATGCCAAGTAACCACTGTTCAGGGAACGCATAGGAAGTGTGGTCCTCCAGAGTGGGCCAGTCTTTGCAGAGAACTTTCTCACTGGACCTTTCTGACGGATGGGGGGGGCGGGCAGGGGGCAGAGCCGGGCTAGGAATGAGGACCAAACGGCGCCAGGCATGGGAAGCTCGTTGCATTACAGCCTGGGAAAGGGAGAGTAGAACGTATAATTTTAAATAGTACGAACTGGAAAATGGGCCGGGAGTTTCCCCACATGCTGGGATTAAAGCGTCTGTGGACTTTACTCTGCGAATATAGGGAGCTCCGGCAGGGAAGGGGCCACACCTGTGTTTCAAGTTGCCAAACGTTCGGCGACAAAGTAAACTTGTATCCACAGCAAGTAACTCTTTAGGTACGTGTCATTTCAATATACACAAGTTACCCGCGTTTATTTCAGACAAAAATGATTTCTCCCCGCCCTTTCCGAAATACTTATGCTTTTACAACTAATCATCAGAAGTGACAGCCGTGTTCTCCGTGTCAAAAACGACAGGAAAAAGCTCCAGCGGGCAACTGCTTCCTCTGACGATCCTACGGCCGTCTTCCGACCACGTTTAACCACAGTTTGAGAAAGTTTAAAGTAGCTTAAAGTGTAAAACGGACCTGATGCAAAGTCACAATCACGACCGACCAATTCATCCGCCCGCTACTCTACATAAGACCTCCCCGCGAGGCCGAATTCCACTTTTCTAAAAATCCTCTTTAAGGAACACACGTTCACCTCCTTAGTAACTCTAGTTTTTCCACTTGCGGGATCGGAAGCGACAGCTCCTGAACCGGGTCAAAGGAGCCCGGCGACAGAAAGAGAGCCCCTTCCTGCGGTCCAACGCGCTTCTACACCATTCTCGCAAGCCGGATCCCGCGGTCGCCACGAAAACACGATCCCCACCCCCCACAGGTGGGAGCGACGCCGATCCCCATCACCTCCGGGCGTGCAGACGGACGACCGCCACTCTGCGGGACGGCCGGGGACCGAGGGGACCCGGGGCGCGGGAGGCGAGCCGCGGCCCGAGGCCGGCGCCGCTGTCAGCGGAGGGACGGGGAGGGTGGGGGACGGGCCCCGGAGGAGACCTGGAACGAGGCTCGAGCCCAAACAAAAACAAGCCGAAGCGCAGCGCGGCAGAGGTAGCAGATTGGGCGAGCCCGATCACGGCTGCCCATTGGAGAAGAGGGAAAACAGAGTCCCCCAATCGCGAGCGGCGGGGCTGCTCCCCTCGTGCGGCCGCGGGCCGCCCCGGCGCTTCCCGGCCCCGCGCTGCCCGGTGGCCGCTACCGCTCCCTTCCGGCGGTGGCGCCCACTGCAAGGCCCGCACCCCCGCCCGCCGCCGCCGCCGCCGCCCGCCGCCGCCCGCCGCGCCGCGCCCCTAGGACTCTGTTTTCCCTCGTCTCCAATGGGCAGCCGTGATCGGGCTCGCCCAATCTGCTACCTCTG